ATCCAGGTAGATCTACTTAACCAATAGTCCTCCTACACTTCCAACAAGTCCAAAGTCTCCAATGGCTGCCCCAGTTCTCCTCAACTCCTTGCTTTCTGCTCATAATGCTCATTTTCTTCACTGGAGGAGCAGTTCCTTTGGTCATTCCTCAGCACAAGAATGATCCCACCAAGTCAGAGCAAATAACCAGCTCCCACCACCTCCAGAAGTGGCCAACAGAGAAAGCCTACTGTTCTAATAGAAATTAGAACACTGCATAACTACTTCCCCACTGCGTTCTCCCAGCCTCCAGAAATTTTGGCGTATGGAGGTCCCAGATCTTTCCTGCTTCCCACAGTTGACCAGAATGGTAGTGATTAATGAAGCCAGCTGGGTAATCTTCTGCCCTGCATTGCAAGAAAATATGCCAGGTGAACCTGAGAAGACCCTCTGATGCCACACAGCATGGCTGACAGCAGCCACATCAGTCATGCACCGTGCCCAGCTCTCTCCCAGCTCCTGTTGCCTTTTTTCCTCTCAGACACATCAAGGAATGTCACTTGGATAGACTGAGACTAGGGAAACTTGCATGCAAACCCCTCTCCTGTAGTTGGTTTCCTGTGCAAACACCCCTGAGACAATTTGGGATCCTGGTTTTTTGTCACTGTAAATAGAGAGGCTCCTACATGGGTTGAGTCTGAGTTGGCTCCCGCAGGCATCTCACCAGAAGTGTTTCCCTCCACTGAACTACAGCTGAAATCCCCTTTGAGTCAGCTTGCAGAAGGGGATAAGGCCCTGTGCTGACTCTCTGGAGCTGCTGAGGAGGAAAGATGTCAAAGACTTCAAGAGTTCAAGCACAGTGGTGAAGGGGTCTGTAACCCAGCAGAATTTGTTGCACCTACAGAATGCAGCATCATGTGTAGGAGGCAAGGTGAGGGAGTGGGTGGCATCCTTGTCCTGTGGAAAAAAAAATGGTTTTCTTCCATGCTCCCTTCTGCACTTAAATGGGCTCTGCCCTCCACTCCTGGGCCAAGAAACTTGCAGCTGAACCAACACGTGTATCTGACCACAGGTGGGCTGAACGTGCTGACTCCATGCAGCACAAAAGCCCTGATTTTGTCACATTTCCACTTCTGTGCTTGCTCTTTCCCAGCCATGCACAAAGCCACAACAGATAAGCCATTTGCCATGCTGGGATGGGAGTAGGGGAGGGAGGGGGCCGAGGGAACAGGGGAGAAGGCACTTGCTGTAAGCTCATTTCTCCTCGTCCCTAGCCCTGATGGAATTGTATTCTGCACACACACTGAAACATTAGCATCGGCTGATTTGGAAGGAATATTGGAAATGAAGTGATAGCAGAGTAAATGTCAATGCATTCAGTGTGACACAGTGAGCACCAGATCTTAAACAGCTTCATCATTGTGGCATTTACTGTATCCTGAAATAATATTAATCCCACTGTTGTCCTTCTTGATGGAATCATCCATGAATATGGTTTATGGGACTGGCCAAAGTGCTAATAGGTTAAAAGAACAACCTATCCAGTGTTTCACTAAATTAAGGTCGCTTCATGGGATTTAATGAAACAAGTACTGTGTGGGGTTTCAAAGGACGTTCCTGTAATTCATGTCTATTTAGGGCTCCTGCTAACCAGAAACCTAATTTCTTTGAGTAAAATAGGTTTTTGTGAAGCCTGGCCATGTGAAAAAAGCTTTAAAGGGCAATAATCAGAAGACCTCATCTGTAACACTTTGTTATTTCAGATCAGTGTTTTGAAAGTTTGGGGGATGGAGTTATTAAAAAAAAAAAAAAAAAAAAAAAAAAAAAAAAAAAAAAAAAAAAAAAAAAAAAAGGATAAAAAAGCCAATCTGCAAATTAATGAGAACAAATGTATTACTGCTATTCATCTCTCAAAAATGCCTGAATGGTTGAAGTGAGACCAGGACACCATTAAATGATAAATAGTGTAGACATTTAACAAGCCAGATACCCTGCTTCAGAAACCAAATATGTAAATTGGCTCACACTTGCCCAGTGAGGAGCTGATGCTCCAAAATTATGGGCAAATGGCATCACCTAGAGCCACTGCCTCAGAAACAGAGCTGTATTTCCTTCCCAAGTTGTGTATGTAAATGATGAATGAAATGATGAATGATCGATGAAATGAAGAATAAATGTGTCATTGGAGACAGTGAAGGGAATAAGAGACAGGTGAGATGTGTTTACTGGAACTAGAGTTTGTTCAGAACACCAGAGGTGTTACCTGCTCCTGTAAAATTGGACTTGTAATGATCATCACAGACCAAAATTTTGATCAGAGACAAAAAAAATCACAGTAGTCTCAGAAATAAATAAAGGCTTTGTATATTCTGGGATACTACAATCAGTTTAGTATTCCCCAGAAATCCAAAACAAGGTAAATATCAATAGCCACACTAAATCTCTGACTCTTAGATTAAGCTCTTGTATCTTTTTTTCTAGATTCTGGAAACAGACTGCCAATATTGGTACTCAAGCCAAGGACTAATCCTGACAGATGCTTGACATTAACATGTGTTGTTAGAAAAAGAGGAAGAGGCACACTACTTACATTTACTACCTTGCTGACTCCTCTCCAAGACTTGAAAACATCTACTGCTTGTGCAGGCTCTTTGCTAAAGCAAAATCAGCAACTTCAACTACTTCTGCAAGCTGTAAAATAGCCATAGCTCTGCAGCATTATTTGGATTTCTTGCCTTTGGAAGGAATGCCACCTTCACATGGCCTCAACTGGAACAACAGTCAGGCTTAAGGGGTTAAGAAATTAAGTTCAGAGGCAGGACAGACTGCAAGGAAGGTTGTATCATGAAAGAAGGTTACAAAAAAAAATGCAATTCCAAATTATACTTTGCTACAGGTTATCTTCTTAGTAGCTCTAGTATCCACTAGGCAGAATCCTCAAGACATACCTTAACCTTTACAGACATGACCTAGACCTTGGAGTCATACCCTATGAGGCAGAGACTGACTGGAAATGAGACCACCATATATCATGTCTGCATGACAGAATGAAACACACACCCACCACAAGAAGAATAAAACCCTCTCTTGAATGTGTCTGCATTGTAAAAGAGAGAGGGGAAAGATTGATTTATTTAAACAGTACTTAACTAACAATAAACACTATCAAACCAAAGCAAACTAATGCTTAGCCATTAAAGCATCCATTCAATGGCCCATCTGTCATATTGTTAAGACCTTTAGAAGTTGTTTAACAAAATGTTAAATAAGATGACATTCAGCAGCACAAAATGCTTGACTGGCTAATGCAACAAAAAGGGGTTGGCCTGCCGGTGTTTGATATACTGCTCTGTGCTACAGGCTGAAAGCTCTGCAGCACACGAGGGGGCTCCCGGGCTGTCGCTTTTTATCTCAGTGAGCAGTGCCAGAAAAGCCCAGAATCACCACAGGCCAGTGTCAGCAGTATCACACTGGAAGAAAGGAAGAAAATCTCAGTGCAGACAAGAAAAAATGTACTATATAAGGAGAAAAAAGGGAAGCAAAAGTAACAAAATGGCTAATTACGGGGAGAAGGAAGAAAGCCCCAAAGGATCATATTCTTGCTGACCCTTGTTTTTCCCAGATCTAGTTGTTTGTAGGGTTTCTTTCTCATAACTTATATTCTACACTTGGCAATAAGGTTTGATGGATGTGGTATGAAAACACTTTAGATTGGTGTGATAGACTATTTAGTAAATATCTAACAACTATTCAAAGACACATGTAAGTTTGTTTCTTACGTGAAAATGGATTGTTCTCATTCCCTTTAGAGAATAGCGACTCTCATAAAATATGACTTTTTAAGAACTGACTGCACTGATGCCAGAGGCTTGTACAGCTTCAAATCTATCATCAGGGTTAAGGTAGTACAATGAGGCAAGGGAGGCAGTTAGTTGGATTCCTGCAATAATTGAAGAATAGATACAATTTTACCCTGAAAAAAAGCCCATTTCCTAAGGAAAAAAAAAAAATCTTTCTTTTAGGTCTGCAGAAGGAAGAAAAAGAAAAAAGTATTCAAGTTTAGACATGTAACAGTTTTCACAAGACACTACTGGACAGTTCTATTGTCATAGATGATGCTCCCCAGGCCTGAATGCCTAACTAACAAAAACAGGACTCTGAAAAGCAAATAGCAATATGCAAATGACTGTTAAAAATCAAAGTAAAATTTTCTTTCATAATTTAAACCCTTTCTCTGGCATTGTAAGACTTTTTTAAGACTCAAAGCTTACAGTACTATGGAAATTAACCCTTTGTTCACCGTTACTCTTCAGTATATAAGATTTTTGTTTCCCATATGCTCTGCCAGTGTGTTTCCCTTACCAGTGCTAAGAAGGGGGAACCCAGGGAAGCCCAGCTGGCAGGTTCAAATTCCTAGCAGCTCAGCCCTGTCAGTAAGTACAGAGGTCCTTGGAAAAGCTGGCCTCAAGTGCCACAGGCAGAGATACCTGGGACCACAAAGGTCTGGGTTTTGTTTCAGCATGGGGACAGTTAATAAAAGCATAGTATTAGCAGGTAGAACAGAGCTTATATGCTGGTGCTAGACTACTGGCCACAAAAAGACACCCCTGTTAGTCACATCAGCAGAGAGCACTGTGTTAGACTCTAGCCTAGAGAGTTTACAGATGTTTTCACTGACCTTCAGTAGCAGCCCAATAGATGTAAGGAGGAACTGTGATTAAAAGTAACAAACATTCCCAGGTAGCTTATTGATTTAGAAAGTATTCCCTCTGAAAATATGCTTTTAATCAAGTGTTATTTAATACATCAGAGCTGGGATGCAACAGAAAACAGGAATTCAATACATGTTAGCAAGTCTAGATAAACACTGACTGACAAATGCAGAGAGCATACCTTGGCTGCTAACAGATATTAAAATTGCAAGCCTTTTTCCTGCTGTGATTGATAAAGGTATTTGTTACCTGCTGTCAATACACAACTAAAAATAAAATTAAAACCAAAACAAAACACTCTTTTCCCAGCCTGAAGTATATTCTTAGAAAGAGGGAAAGGAAGGTGAAAACCCAATGTGCTATGCCAAGCTGGCTCTAGAACCCAAATCATCTGCCATGGAGGTGCTGCACTCACATGGTGGTAGTGACACATCAAGTATGAACCAGATGCAAGCAAAGGTTCAGCTTAACAGCAAGAGTGATGAGGAAACCACACAACTCCTTTTCCTCTCAAACGTCCTCCCACGGCCTCTTTCTGCCTCAGCAAGATCTATTCCAGATGAAGAAGTGACCTGGGAAAAGCAAGCAAGACCACAGCAGTGTTTTGTTGATGACGTGAGTAAAATAACCGTGTGTGTATATATATATATATTTTCACTCCTCTCTCACTCAAATTGTCTTGGCTGTCAGTACAGAATACTTGCAGGAACATCCCAGAATGATCATTTTCCAAACTGAGAGCTCTAAAGGTCAGCCTTCAGTTACACCAAACTCAACATTACCATGACTGTGTCACCTCTTGGGAAAGGGGGAGGGATTCTTCACCAAAACATATGGCAACAGCAGTTTATTTTATCACAGGGCTGTATTGTCTTGAAGTGAAAGAAGGCTTGTAGGGAGAGACAGTATCTTTTATTAGACCATCTATTATTGTTTCTTCTCCGCCCTTTTAAAAGGAGTTTATTTTATGGGTTAAGGGTGACTAGAGCAGAGGAAAGAGCTCTGCTGTAGCACTCACAGACAAGAGCAAAGAAATAGAAATAAAAAGGAAAAATAAAGAAGAAATAAAGACAGACTGATCTATTCAAAATCTGGCACATGAGGTTTTATTGCAGACATATACTGGCAGAGTGAGGGGAAGGGAAACAAGAAAAAAAAGACTCATCCTGTACAAAGAGTATCTGACTGTACAGGCTGAGTCCAAAAACCAATCCAAAATTCCATCCAGTTCAACAGAAAGATTCTCACAGACGCCAGTACAGCCCCTCCTGTATGCAGTTTTCAGCTACATGAACACGGTTGTGAATATTCAAGCAAAAAAAAGAGGATGTTAAGCCCAATTTTGGACTTCATAAGCTTCTCAGTGCAAATTGAGTAGAGGAATACCAGCTAGTTGTGTGGCCACAATGCCAGCTTTTGAAACAAAGGAGGAAAGAATATTGTTTTGGTTTTTCCTCCACTTTGGGGAACATCTTTGCACTGCCCTGGCCCCCAAGATACATATGACAATTACAAAGCTTTCTGCCTCCAAGCTCACCTGAAAAACACCACACAAAGTAACAGGAGAGAGCCAGCATGTGGAAGCTGTGTTGTTAACAGCACCAGGGAGATCCTGGCTCCCACTGCAGATTCCCAGCTTGCATGATCATTAGTTAACTTCAAAGAAGCAGCTGACAACCTTCCACAGTGCATGAAGAAAGCTGAAAAGATCAATTACAAGAAATTATTAGTATGCAAACTATACCTGGGTTCTTCAGGCAGCTATCCCTCAACAAGAATATCAGAGACCAAATAAAAGGATAAATAAATAATCCTAGCCTCTGTTTTCAGCATACACAGCAGTCAGAAAGAACCCTTCAAGGATATTAATTCTACTGGAAACACACTCCTTTTTTTGTATCCAATATATTGCACTGAAAGTTAAAATGAAGCTTTTAAAAGTATAATCTAAGAAAACCCACCCCATAAAAGGACAAATTTGCTTCCTTGGTGAATTAGTCACCCAGATAATTGTTTCTCTTTAAAGCAATCTTGCTCTCATCCAAAGTTGTCGTAACTGTACCAGTGGTTTTGTTCCAGGGACAGGGTAACACATTGTTACAACGTGTGGACTTGCACAGCACTAATATGATGGTTTTGCAGTTCTGGTGAGTATCAGCATTACTGTAAATACTCTTTTCAGAGACCTTCAACACGGACGCTAAAAAGCAAACAAAACTTCTCTATAATGGTCATTTTCCTGAGCCTCCCTCAACCTGTTCAGCGGTTTATTGATAGGATTGTGCCCCTTATAAAACTGGCAGGTTTTCACATTTGGAGATAGTTTCTGAGGCTTAGCTTTTCTCTAAGTACAGGAAGAAATCTGGTTTATAAAGGCATCAGTCACAATATTCCTTACTAATATGAACTGGTGCAGCTGCACTGACATCCTTAGAACTGCACCTTCTAATAACAGCAAAGGATCTGGGCTATGATACCATGCTATTAAGGGACAGTAGGTCTCATCACTCCTTCCCTAAGGAAAAAAAGAATAGAAGCGAGATTGAAATACAAAAACCGAAAACCATCTACTATGACTATATCATCAGGTTCATCTTTCAGGCAACTTCTGTGTGATTGTTTAACCTGAAGTGGCCTTGGACTAGCATGAGAGACTTACAGAACCTGCAAACCACACAAGGGGTCATTCATCCATGAGCCTGTTCGATTCACACCATTTCAGAACTAGCGGAACACATGCTGGCTTGGTGCACTGCCTCACCAGAAAGGCTTTAAACCAGATGTGCAGCAATTGATCAGGAATGCCTTTTCCCAAGCACGTCCTTTCTTCCCATTGAACTACTTGTTATATAGACAGGTCTGCTGAAAGGTTGCTGAACCACACAACCAAGGAAAACGCACGGGCAGGGAGAGGGAGCTGCATCTTCGGCTGCAGCAGAATCCCTCGGATCCGTGTCGAGCCGCAGAGAAGCTGTGCTGCTGTTAAACGGCTGATTAGTTTGTTCTGCCAAACATCTGAGAGCATCATTAGTTACACAAATGGCTTGAATTATGATCAAATGAGCTGAGTAACCTGCTGCCATGAAACTCCATGTGAGTCCTGTTTCCTCAGATCTCAACATGTGTTACTCAGTGCGAAGCCGTGTCTCCTGGCTCTCTCTGATGGCTCACGCAGGCCTGGGTTTAAGAGTGCCCTTCTCAATCTGAGGACCACCCTTTCTACTGAATTGTTTTACCTGAAGATTGCCTCAATATGTATTTCCACCAGGCAAAAACAATTAACACAACGTTTTCAGATATCCTTTGTCACTGCACTCTCACACACTCTTTTTGATAGCAGGTGTATAGATGTGTTGCTCTCTATTTTTTGAAAACAAAATTTAAAAAAATCAACACCAAAACCACATTTCCCTGTTGTATTGAAGCTCAGTGGTGATGAAAAGGAATTAATGAAACCAGTTTGTCATTTTGCTAAGACAGGACCAGGCTATCTCTCTCAGAACACAGAAAGGGTACAAGCACAATACCAGTCGTGAGATTTACCTCCCTCCTTTACATTTTGCTGCAACCCAGCAACCCAACCATTTATAGCAAAGAGGCTCTAACATAGATCAAAATACATCAGCTCAACCTAATTCCAACAGAAAAAAAATTAAATGCCAGTATTTCAAAGCATCAGTCCTCCAGTCCTCTCTGACTTTTGAAGGCTGACACCTGCTGTGCTAATTCCCAAGAGTGAGTAAATCCCTGTATTGCATCAAAAGAGAGATTCTTGTATAAGCAAAACCACCGCTTTCAAATTATATTTCTTCTACTGGGTCTCTGAACTCTTTTCTCAGAAAGTTAAGTACCCAACTAGATTCACTCAGGAATGTGGGAATCTCCCACGTATTTCCGTTTGTCCTGTGAGATATTTTACTAAACAGGAGTTTATACAGAATCAACATGGTGGAAAAAAATTCCTGCTGTTCTCAATCCAGTGACATTGAAGCATTTTATCCTCCAATATAGGAGAGTGTTTCTCTGCACAAACTACCCCAAAATTATTGCATGGGGAGGTATCAAGAAATACACTGGCATATTGATGAAATATTTGTAAGGGTAGCCACGAAGCAGTGTGTTCTTTCTTAGTTCTACAAGTTCCAAAATGAAGAGTTTCATTCTCAGCTCTGCACATAAATGGGTTTCTAAAATCTGAAGGGGAGAAATGCATCACACAAATCCACCACTGGCACCAGGAACAGTTACACTCATTTAAGCCATGACTGATCAATCAAGAAGCTCCACAGACATTGCCATGCCAGCCCTGTCAGACAAGAAATAAGCAGCCAGGTTCATTCCAACTAGTGACCTGTCCCATACTTAGTTTCTTCCTTCTTGATTTCAAGCACTTCCTGCAGAGAGAACATGTACTAGAGAATAACTGAGCTACAACTACAGTAAGCACCTGTGAGATGCTACAGATGTTATTTTGGATCACCTGGTAAAATAAAATCACAACACTATTAGCTTTATTAACAGTGAGTCTGTGATTTCATCATATTGCACTCATGCAGGTTGGAATTTTCTAAGTGGAAAAGTGCTTCAAGTGAAACAAGTAGTTTCTGAAAAGAAATAAAATTTACACTCAAGAAATTCTCTTTTCTTTCTTTTAGGACAATCAAAACAAAACTATCCAGTTTCAAGGTAGATATACTTATTTGAGTTCACCTGAACTACTGCAGTGCCTCATGACATTTCAGTTTTCAACTATGACACCACTGACAGATTACACATGTCACATGTATTGGCCTGGAAAATATATAAATTAGTATCCTGGTAATAATTAATGTGATAGGAAAAAAAACACATTACTTCTGCCGGGAATCCTTTTGTTCAAAAATATATTCACAGATCAAGTTTGATTGCAACAGCCTGACATAATGTATGGGGGGAGGGCGAGGAAGTACACCACAAATAAATAGTGTATTTATGAATTCCAACAATCCTTAGCGTATGAAGACGAGAGAGACACCTGCAGGCTCCCAGCCCAGAGCAGCAAACTTGTACCAGTCACTAAAATCAGTTGACTCATTCTCTGTCATAATACCTTTTCCTATTGTTGATGAGGAGATCCTTCACAAAAATAAAACCATGGATCTTCATATTCCAAATTACCCCTGAAAAATAATGTTTTTCCTCCCTGAGAGACAGGTAGACTTTGTCAATAGCTCTCTTCTGCACAATCTCACCCTCTCAGATTTCTAAGAACACTCTCATTACCCACCTCATACAGTTCACTGCAACTGTGATGCAGTTGTTTTCATTAATTAGAAGAGAATAGCAATGTCCTGATCTCCTCTCCTGACAGAAGAGAAGACATGATCAACAAAATTATGCTCACTCAAAGGTGGAGTAAAAGAGCAACAATGCCTCGATAATTTGCCACAATTACATTTCTGCAGTTGTTGCATGTTATGTTTACGGATTTACTGTGGCTTCCAAGATGATAGCTGCAAACTCTTGTTTTTATGAAAGGACATCTGGATCAGGCACATATCCAGAATTAGTATTCTTCTTGCAGCAGAACTCCAGCATCTGTTCCATATGCTATTGTATCTTGTACACTGACTAACTTCCAACAGAACTGGATTTTGCAGTTTACTGCAGTGCTGTTAAAGGGCTCATCAATATGTTTCTCCACTTGGAATTCAAAAACCTACTCAGCATTATGAAATATAAGCTTTTTCTCCCAAGAAGCCTCTCACTCTGCAGTTCTGTCACAGCTTTTGCACCGCTCTAGTTACAGAGAGGAGACATCAGTTCTTTGTCTGCAATGGTCTTAAAGAAGGCTTTGTTCCAAAGGTCCTTAATGGAGTCCTAAGACATGGGGGCATTTTACCATCAATAATCTGCAACTGCTTAAGGGCACTTTTTTTCCTGCATAGCATTCTCCCGTGTTTTCTGTTTGATGCTTCTGAGTGACCTGGAGTAGAGGGCCAGTCCCAAGTAGACTCTGATAAATTATCAATGTCTAGATAGAAAATACAATGCTGAGGAGAGGTCTGCCAACAGATCCTCAGAGCACGTCATTTTTATAATTTCCTTTAAATATTTTTCTGGCCTTTTAGGAAAGTCTCATTAGACTTCAGGTGTTCTTTTCCAAGTATCTCCTTTTAATTTGGCAAATAACCAGAGTATTGCTTGCTTTTTACCTTCCACTTTCTGGTTTGCCAGCGCAATTTCTTTCACACTAACATTCTGAAGGAGAACACTTTAAAACTTTATATCAAGAATACCTTTCAATACAGAGTACTTCTACAGTAAAAGATTCTCTGCTGACAGGTAAATATACTCATGCTCTTCTTTGTACCGTCTTCTCCTTCAGACACTCCCTGACTAGTAAAGTTACTCCTCAGTTTGTTTTCTGCCTTGCATGTAAAAACAAAAAAAAAACCAAAAACAAAAAAAAAAATTGATTTTGACTTTTGAAGACTTCAGGGTGTTATCGTCCTCTAAGACTTAATGTTGTTTTCCACACAACATTCATTATTCCACCACATATCTACACTCATCTGACACTCACCCGGCTGTCCTACATGTGGTCTCAAACACTTTGTTTCATGAAGTGTTCATCAACTAAACTTTTCTCCTTGATCTCACACTCTGTTACAAGTAAGTACTCGTGGGTGTATTGAGGAATTCAAACTGATCACTATCACACCTACATCTTGTCTCTCCTGCTTGAAGACAAATGTAAGACAAATGTTTCATTTACTCTCCTTTCTCTTTCCTTTTTATTTTATTTTTTTTTTCCCTCCTAGAAAGGCATGATACTGGAGGCATTTTTCAAAGGTATTTTCAGCTCCATAAGGGATTTTGCTGAGTGGTGAATCATAAGCGACATTTCCCTTCTCACCCACATATCGTGTTTGACTCTTTTGGTCACCAGCTTCAAACTGCTCCCAAGAGATTTCTGAACCAGCTTGCCCATTGCTGCACCACTGTCAACCAGAGCTCACCCCAGCCCCTCCAAGCACACTGTGTTGTGTCCATACGCAAGGAAAATACTGTCCTCCGTTTGGCTTTTCAGTTTCTCCCACGTGCCACTTTTACGTATTTTACTTCTAACCAGATCTTTGTCAAATTTATTTCCATTTGCCTCCCTCAAGAGTTTTATGCAGCCTGCCTACTGCATGCTTTATGACTTCCTCCCCTTTTCACTGCAGACTTCTTCTCCCTCTTGACAGACAGTCTGTGAGTGGGGCTTCTATCTGAAGACAGCTGCTGGTTTTTTTCTAGTTACTTTTTTTCCTCCGTAAAAGACATACACAATCCCATACATTGATTCCTCTCACATCAAAACCCCCTAGTAAGTGTGGGATTGTCACTGCAACTCCATCTTGGGCTCTACACACAGCGAGACTATCTGCAGCCAGAAAGAAATATGGATTTGTACACACACACACACACACACATAGACACACAATCATAACATCTGGGGAGACCAGTCAAAACTGCCAAGCTAGCAATTTAACTTCAGATGTCTCTAGTAAGACTCCCAACAACCTGTTGCCCTCCAGGACCCAAAAGAAGGATGCCACTCATCCCCACGCTGCCACAGTCCCATCACCTCACCCAGTGAAGGGCAAAGGTCTGTGACAATGATTCCTGCCAACTGCAGCTGAGTTTCAATTTTACCATCATCAGGGAAAGCTGAGGTTTGCAGCTGCATTTTCTTTAATCTCTTTTACCAACACCTTGGTCTTTGACTTACTAATTTTCTTGGTTATTATGATTATCACTACAGGAGGAGTAACCTGGTTCATTTAAACCTACAGGTCGTTCACTGCCTTCCAATGTACATTCAAAAAGCTGATGTTTAAATACTGTTTGCTTGTCAAGGCACAGGATGGTTTTGTGGAATTCACAGGGTTGCTATCATTATTATTATTGTTGTTGTTGTTATTTTGGCTCTGCACCTGCTGAGGTAAAAAGGCCTGCAATGGAAGCATTTTCACCTCAATAGGGTGGGTGGAAGGATTATGTAAACAACTTCTCTGTCTGGAAAGAGGGGCCTTGACAGGTCCCATGTTGTCAAATGACAATTGTGACTTCTTGCATTTCAAAAGTCACGCTCAGATGGTTTCATCTGAAACCCTCTGGGTAATAGTAGCCTTTTGAGGTTATGATATCTCTGGATGGAATTCAATAAAAGAAATTCACTTTCAATTGAAGCCCTGGAACATTGCCAGGCAGCACCAACAATGCCGTACGTCTCCAAAGAAAATTGGACTGATCCCCCACTCCTTTTTTCTCCTCCCCTTTCCATTTCTTTCTCCATCTTTATTTGTGCTTTCAACCTCGTTTGTGGATTCCTTCTTTTTGATATATTTTCTCTCCCAATAAGCTTTGGTTCCTGAAGGTTTAAAAAAAAAAAACAACAAACCCAAACATAAACATTTGGAACTGAAAGAGTAGTAGCCAGTAATAGAGAGACACACACTCACAGTAGCAATGACAAGTCGCTCTCAATAGCTGACCTTTGCCATATACGTGAAAGGAAACAGAATAGAACCTCTGCTCTAGGTGAAGGGGGAATATTATTACAACCACCACCTTCCTAGTCCCTGCTAAGAAGGCTGGTTAATGCACTCATTTATTTGTTTAGTTTAAGGCCAAGGGAAGGCAAAAAGCTCACAAAACCTGCCTCACTGCCAGAGGCAAAAATGTTGGTTTTTTGCTTGGGTTGTCATTCATGATGACTTGGGAATTTTTTTTTTTTCCTCCCACCCCCTTTTTCCCTGGGTTTGGGAAGGGCTGCAATTGTCTGTCTTCTCTTGTTTTTGATCATCTAAGCAGATTAAGAAGTGTGCTTGGTTGGGAGGCAGAAGATGGAGAAGATGCATCAATCTTGTGAAAGCATTCATTTTCTCCAGTGTTTTCTTCACCAATGACCTACCTCTTGAGTTGTTACTGCTACATGTGATTTGAATTTGATCAAGTCAAGTGGCCATAGGAACTAAATACCAAAAAAATAAACCCCCAATGCCTTGAAAACAGATTATAGATCTTTTTGGCAGACTGCTGAAGTTCATTGTGGTTTGCATTTGATTCACCTTAGGCTGCAAATCCCTTCTTTTGCCTCAGTTCTACAACGATTTACTCTTCTTACATTAAGATTTCAGAACCAGTAAAGTAACAGCAACTTTAGAGTTAAAAAAAATCTGACCTGCTTCCTCTCCCCACAGCGTTATTTGTCCTTTTATCCCTCCAAAGCTCAAAAGCTACACAGGTTCAGGTCTGGTCAAGTGTCAGCTGAGAAAACAGGCATGGGGTTGTGGGGGGAAGAGGGTCATTTGTTCTGTACATGGGGCTCTCTTCTGATCAGCCACATCAAAAGAATAGTAGGGGATGCTCAGACACAATCTTTTACAAGAGAGGTCAAACCAAATTCCTGAATCACAGGGATCCTTGGGATCCCCCTGCACTTTCAAGAGAGTTGCCTGACTGTTGGCATCAAAGCCACATCTAGAACACAAGATTCTGAGCTACAAGTTTAAATCCCACTCTCATTTCAGATTTTTAACTGTGTTCCTCTAAACTGTTTTTTACACAGTATTAAATAGCTGTGATAGGACTCACTGATATTATAAGAGCAGTTGCAGCTATTGTTCCTTGCAAAGACTTTTCTTACACAAATTCAGAGTATCAGCAGTAGCATTAAACATGCCCAGTCCCAGTTTCCAGCAGAAAACTCTTTAAGTACTGCAGATGCAAGCAGATGGCAGCTCTGGACAAATTCGCTTGCACAAATATTAAATAGGTATGACATGCCTCTAATACACAAGATTTTCCCCTGAATTTCTCCCAAGCACAAGGAAATTAAACAAAATACTCCAGGTTCACCAAACAGCTCAGTGACAGAGTGAGGAACAGAAAGCAGGCCTTCTCACTTCGCCTCTCACACCCAGTCCTGAAAATACATCACCTCCTAAGAGTGCAGGCTGGGTGTAAGAGGCCATCCCAGGGGCCAAGGTATTAACTAGGTAGTGAAATATTTAGGTGCATTTACTGCATCTCATCAATCAATATTAGAATAATAATATCTAGTCATATCTAATCAACATTAGAAAATGGTAAAAAAGAAAAAGAAAGAGCAGCAAGTTTAAAATCACTGTAGAATTACTTCCCTAGACTGCTGGGTATTTGAAAGATTTTAACTTTGTCATGAAGTACTAATTCAAAGCTCTCCAGGCAAAGTAGTTCATGAATACCTCATCAACATTCTTCCCATTATTTATCCCCCCTTCCACTTGAAATTTAAAAAAAACAAACAAAACAAAAACAAACAAACAAACAAACAAAAAGTAACAAAAATTTGTAACAGACTTAAACATGCAAAACTACAGACTTGGGCTTTTGAAGCAATTCAGACATCTGTAGTCTAATAATCTACTTTTTCCTGTAGCAATAATAGAAAAATATTCCTTGCAGAGTACAACAGAAGGTCTAATCTGCAAAAAATTACAGACATTCTTCACTTTATTCTTGAAAAAGAACCTTGGTCTACAGAAACAACCAGAATTATCCATTTCTTCCTGTTTTTGAAACTGCTGAGCAGAAGCCAGAATCCTAGCCTGGCTCACATAGATAAACAAACCAGCTTCACAGATAATAAAATTTAGTTAGTGTTAGTGTATGTATATAAACTGGTAATTCTTGTATGTAGGTATAGGATAAATACTGAAGTTTGGCATCAAACAATGAATAGGTGCAGTCCTACTTACCAAGATGAGCATATTCTCCTCTCTTGCCAGCATGGATTTTATTTGATTTGTTAATCATAGTATGTTACTAACAGCTCTAACTCCAATACTGCTCTGTGAGGATGAAGGTCCCTTCCTCCATTTTTAATTGTAGCACAGCTTTTTCCAATTGTCAATCCAGGGCATACTATAAAGCAAAATAAACACATACTTATTTCCATCAAATAGCATCCACATTGTTAACAATTAAAATCAAAATACCCTGTGAGGTTATAAACAAAGACCTTGTAAACAGACCAAGAATCTCATTTTCATATTCTTCTTCCTTCCATAATTCAGGTTGTCAACAAACAAATTGTTTTTATAGCTGGGAAGAATATAAAGCTTTGCTTAGAATGTAAAACTTGTACTTTATTCCCATGGACAAATAGCTATGAGTTCTGAGTTTTTCAAAAGCAGAGGGGTCCAGCAGAAAATAATTTTCCTCTAGCAAAGAGTCCATACGGTCCCAGAATCCTGAAGAGCAGTGAAATTTAGCTATAACATACAATACTAATTCAAAAATTCAAGGATCTGGGAATTTTGCAGTGAACAAAACTTAATGGGATGCCAAGCTGAGTGTTCTAGCTGTGGTCATAAGTCATTTCACGAGAAGAATTCCAATCCATCCCCCCATGTCACGATTTTCTTTTAGGCTATTTTGTACTAATAGATTGGATTATCACTTGGTGTTCCACTAAGTTCTCTCATTCTTTTAAGATGGTCACTGCAGCATAGCACTAAGAAAGTAATTTATTATTTTAAACTAGTGCAGAGAGTGCCCCAGGTGACCAGCATTGGCACCAAAATAACAGGTCTGACTCCCATCAGCCTGAGGCGTGGGTGTTCCTGGGACTATTTCCAAGCCAGACCTCCTTCTCACAGTGCAAACATTAGGGCTGACACTGTTCTCAAGTCTAACCTGAAAAGGAGTTTTTAAAGCCCTATAATTATGCTTGTTCAGCCTTGCAAAGCCATTGTGAAAATTAACCAGGATAGGCAGAAAGTCTGCTCATATGACATCCACAGTAAAGAGTAGTGTTAGTAAAAGGCTAGATGAGGAAAGGAAGATGCATACCCCTAAAAAAACCTCAAAAAAACATCCAAAATCCCAAACAAAACTGCCCATGTATGATAGGTATATGAGACATCTGTGAGAATGTTCATTTTCCCTTCAGATTTTGACATGAGCATGATATGCCTTTAATTTTCACTCCTTGAGACGTGCTTAAATCAGCCTCCTTTTCTGCTCATGAAAACACTGCTGTCCCAGCAATACTGAATTCAAGGATAAAGTGCATTTGAGATTTCATTCCCACACTACAAAGCTTAATTATCTACCGGGAAGATATTGCAAGACAGCAAATGCCTGCAAAGAAACATTCAAGAAGCAAAACTAAATACAGTAAAAAAAAAAAATCATGTTTTTCAGACAAAAAATACTCTAAACTCAGGAAATTCTTGTTTTGTTCTTAAAAGACAGTCTGAAAAGAAATACTGCAAAACAAAATCCATCCTATTTGATGTATTAATACGACAATGAAGAGTTTTAATCCCTCTTCTGTGAGGACACATTATCATCTCCAAGGCAAAAGCTACCCAGCTAACAGCTCACATGAATCACTCAGACACTGGTGAAAGTACTCATCACTTCCACCACCATCTTCTGCTTCTGAGAACAAATCTCTCCACAGCCTGGAGTCCTCTGGGGGCCAGAAGAATCAAATTACAAAGTCAGAAATTCTAATAATAAGAAGAAAGAAGTTCAGGAACTTTCTTTGCTGCTGATGCTCCAAAATCCCTTGGTACCTTTTAGCCTCTCTCGCATACAGTGATTCATCTCACCACCCGTACAAAACTCCACCTTCATTTTTAAATTCGGTAATCAGCCCTCACACTAAAAGATAGGAGAAAGTTTCCCATACAAAAAGTCTCTTCTGTAATAATATTCTCTGCGAGAAAGAGTTTTCATGTTGTTGAAGAAGGCAGGCATGCAGGCAAAACTAAACAAATACAACCTACCAGGTTTAAATTTCAGTGAATTAGAAAACAAACCCAACAAGCTAACAGGAACATTGGCTTCACATACTACAGCCAGTCCACGACTGACCTCTCAGCCCTGATTCTCTAGGATGCTCAGTCTACAAGTGACCTGCAAAATATAAGCCTGAAAACTGAAACTTCTCAACACAGTGATCGCTCAAGACTTAAATGATGTTCTTGTGTCACTAATTTTCCCATTATGCCTTATACAGCCAACCCACCTAGCAACATACTAGTCCTTCCCCAACAGGTCTGATGACCTCAACCATTTCTCCTACGTGATATCTCTGTCACTACATCAACCATCTTTCTCTGACTCACTGAATCATTAAAAAGAGGTAAACAGAAATTCACTCAGAACTATGCAAGCAGCTACAAGGACTTGATCCCATCCTTGGGATGATCACCTGCTTTGCTCTCAGCGTTTATCCACTGGGTAAAGAATTCAAAACTAGAGGAGGTGGGGGTTGCTGCACTGACAAGCTCCCAACCTACCCTATACACAAAGAACAGCTTTTCTTTGTCTTGTTTATTGAGGGTATGTTGGGCCATCGCAGCGGAACTAAGCAGGAAAACTGCTTTCCAACACTGCTGGGTTTTGTTTTGTTTTCCTCTTTCTTCCTCCATCTCCCGCCCACCCCAAAATCTAGAAGGGTAACTGTGGTCTGTAGTTCACGTGGATCACTTCAAACCAGGGCTCACGTAGTTGTCTGAGGGGAAGGGAGCAGGAAAGTTTGAGGAAAGAAAATTAAAAAAAAAAAAAAAAATCACATGGATTAGAAATGTAAGCTGCAGATGAAAGGTTATCCTTCCCTATTTGTTATCGTGTTCCTTCAAGGGACCCTGGCTTTCAGCTCTAGTTTTTGGCCAGGAAACTCCCCGAGCTAATTTTAGTGAACTCATAAAACAGGACCCTAGGGATAATACAATACTCTGTGCAACCTCTAAACAGCATGAATGACTAACACAAAATGACAAATGAAAGGAAATTCCACCTAAACTGTCTACTGTGAACAAATATTCCAACTTAGAGATTAAGCAATATCCCAAGTGGACCTGAGTTCTGGGCAAACATTGTGACAAAGACATCCTTTTCTTCCTGATTTTATTTTACTTGTGTTTTTTGTTTTTTTTTTTTAATCAGATTCCTTTATAACAGAAGTTGGGTCAAGAAAAGGATCTGTATTTAATTTCACTGAGGTAGCTTGTTGATCTCAATTCAGATACAAACTGAAAAGGATTAGCTGGATTCAAACTCATTTATTGTTTGCTTTACAATAAACCAAGTTTGAAAGAGAGCCCTGAAACTCTCCAAGATACTCTTGTAATATCTCTGCCTCAAAAAGAAGTCCTCAAAATAACCTTTAAAGGCATAGTTCTTTTTACAAGCAAACCCAGCCATAAATACTACACTTGAACCAAGAACCAAAAACAGAGATATCTTGAGCTTTTGCCATGAATCATTACAGAGCAGAATGCAGGCAGAGTCTGCCACACTTCCCTGGGATATGCTGGGGGAGCTGTGAGAGGAATGAGACCCAGAGAGTCATTGTATTAGTGCTCCGATTTCTCAGCTCAAACCAAAAAAAAGTCAGTAAAAGCTTGCCTTCCTATCCTCTCCTCCACATTATATTTAAAACCAAAACCAAATTACTCCTGCCCACAAACTTGAGATGGCCAGCACCTTGTCTTGTTTTCCCTCTGTTTACAACAAAAGAGAAAAAAAATTAAAGTGCCAGCCCACATAGCTGAGGGATCATCAAGAGTTGTCTGATACTGGGGATGGATGACCATAGACATTCTCCTAAATGTTGGGGCAAGGAATGGTAAGGAAGACTGGGTGTAGTTTGGCCAAAAAAAAAAAACATCAAAATGGCACAAATCCACCCAGAGCAGACCCAGTGCTGCAGCGGTATCAACATTGCTCCAGAGATCTGTACTCTTGGAAAAACCAAACAGAAGCAGCAGCTGTGCCCTGCATGGATTTGCTACATCCACTGGCACGTGCTGCCCTGTGGAAAGTCATGGGGCCTGCTCCCTGCCAGACCCACAGGGAAATGTGGATGCATCAGGACTCTCCACCCAAGGGCCTGCAGTGCGTTCTGCAGAGTTTCCTGCTCTGCCTTCTGGGTGTTTCCAGGATGACAGCCAGCACAGAGACCCTCTGTGTCACAGCACCATGCTGTGCCTCTGTGTTAGGCATCACTGCTGAGATTCTGGCCAAGCTCATGCAGGAAGAGTCACTTTGCAGTTGCTCCAAACCACTGGGAAGGATTTTACCTTTTCTGACCTGCCATCTGTATAGAGCAGGTATAAGCACCTACATACCCCTTCCACAGGAAAGGAAGGGCAGTATTTTCTGGAGGATGGCTCCTGTTTAGGTACCTCAGCAGAAGGGTAAAACTTCCACCACTTCCATCATCCAAGTATTTTAGCTCGTAATGGCTTTCTGAGCAAGAAAGTCTTTGGCCTTTGCCTGCTTGAAAAATACCACTGCAAACCTACAGCAAACATACAGAGCCAACAGTTCCATGGAAACTGCTGCCTGTTGAACACTGATAAAAATCCAGCTGCCTGTATCCTGCATGGTCCCACTAGCTTCTCTTTTCATCCTGACCAAGCAGTCCTCATTTAGCCAGAGAATGCAAAAGGTGTTGAAGGACGCCCTTCTTTCCAAGCCCTTCTGCGTGTGCTTGACCAAACCATAAACTGATTTATTTAAAAAGAGCAAATGGAAGCTGTGCATCATCTGCAGCTCTCACAGGCTAACAGCCAAATGACTCTGTTTACTGTAATCTCTACACCCAGAGAAGTTTCTTTTGTTCTTAAAATAGCATTGGTCACTGCAGAATGGAGACACCAGGAAATTGAAGACTATATATACACATACATTTTGTCACAAATCCTGGGGCTTGTACATATTATTCGATTTAATTTTAGTTCTAAATTGTTTGCATATTATAGTCCTGCAGCT